TATATATATATATATATATATATATATATATATATATATATATATGTATGTATGTATGTATGTATGTATGTATGCATGCATGCATGCATGCATGCATGCTATGGCCATGAAAAAAGCTGTACTTTATTATAGTATATCAGTGAATATATCTGATCTTGTAGAAATATGGTAAATCATTGTAAATGTATCACATCCATTTATGCATTATGAAATTTATGACTAATGATTGGAAGAAATGATCCCAAACTGATCCTGTTACAAGGGATTGTTTTTGATAATTTTTGGAATTTTTCTGAGTTTGTGATTACTTATATCACATACAGTTCTAGTAAAATGAAATTTAGCCTTAGATTCACTTTCAGGATGGCACAGATAGTTGAAATAGGAATAAGTTCCAGTTAAGCCTTCAGTGTGTATGGATGCATGATTTCCCTGTGAAGACATTAGGAAGACTTCTGTTTCTTGTGTTGGTCCATGGACTCTTTCTCTTCTACTTACGGACAGGGAGATTTCATTCAAAATGGGGAAAATAACCCCAGGGTTAGGGTTTTGTTTTGACTATTCCCTCCAGTCTGAATAGAAGAGACATGGAAGGAGTAGAACAGGGTGTCAAACTCACAGCCCATGGGCCGGATGCATCACATGCTGGCCCCACCCCCACCTGGTTTAGCGAAGGGGGGAAAGTCCCAATATGTCATGTGATGCTGCCATGACGACGCGAGTTTGAAACCCCTGGAGTAAAAGATTGCTAAGTCTTTTATTAAGAATTTATTTTTATATGGGCTGCCAAAATATGGAAAGGACCTGGATGGCAACAAAGAGTTTCTGGATCTCCTTGTTGTGATCGAATGATCACACATATTTTTGGCACCTACTTGGGATGGCGGTATGTTCCATGAAGAAACATAGGCAAGAAACAATGGCTAGAAACTAGTGAGAACAATTAACCAGTGGAACAGCTTTCCTTCAGAAGTTGTGGGTGCTTCATCCCTGGAGGTTTTTAAGAAAAGACTGCACAGTCACTTGTCTGAAATTGGATAGGGTCTCCTGCTTGAGCAAAGGGGATGGACTAGAAGACCTCCAAGGTCCCTTGCAGATCTGATTGATGGGGATGGTAGTGGAAATTCTTTTTAAAAAGTAAGCACAAATCAACTCTCCAAAAAGTTAATGCTGTAACAACTGGATACTACTGGCTACCAATTCTGAGCTGTAAAAATCTAAATGGCCATTAGATGGCATCAAAGAAGAAGCATTTCCCCCCCAGTTAGTATGACAATAGGTAACAATCACCGAGCAGTGTGATAGAACAGCATTCAACACTTTTCCTGACTTTTTAAAAACATCCCTCTCATTGTTCACAGCGAGAGCACCATTGTGGACTCTTTCATCATGCAGCAGAAGACTCCAGTGGGGAAAAAATCACCCCATTCTGTACTCAGGCCCTTCTCAGCCAAGGTCACAGCTTTTCCATCACCTTGTAACTCAGAGGAAGAAACATCCAGCAGAAGACTCTCTACCTTCCTGTTTATGTCTGAGAGCATTTCCACATGACCTGCTAAATGCAGTTTGAAAATGCCTCAGCAACCATCTTTGGAGTACAATAAATGGGTTTTGTTGCAAAGTTTATTAAAAGTTTTCAAAAGAACATAAAAGTTACCACAAAATAGCACAGAATAAAAAGGACAAAGAAAGAGAGATATATAAGAGAAAACAAAGTTGCAAAAAAGAAAGGATAAAAAGAAAAAAATGCATTTTTTTGCAGCAAATACATGTATGATTACAAAGTATCTCTTACAGTACAGTACAAAATGACAGTACAGATGACAGTACAAAAAATGACAGATGACAATACAAAAAACTTCATTTTTTTCTATTATCCATTTTTTCTAATCATCAAAACCACAAATGTTAAATTTTTTTTTTTATTTTTTCATTAAAAAAGCCTATAAGGGTCTTCTAACCATAAATATTCATACTGTCTTTCATCTATTTTTTGGAAGTTCTATCAACTTCACCAATCTTTCCTCTATTGTGAGTAATGTCAAACTTTTCTATCTTTAAGCATATAATAATCTTGCTGTAGTTTCATATATGAAAACAATGTTCCATGATTTTTTTCTAGTTGCTTGTCCATTACTTCCAAAAGAAAGGCATCTAGTTTCAGCTGACCTTTAATTTTTAAAATCTTCTGAATTAATGAATATATTTGTGACCAAATTTTTTGCCTTCTTTACATGTCCACCAAACAAGGTAAAATGTCCCATCAAGTTGTTCACATTATGAACAAATATTTAAAGTAGCTTTTTACATTCTGCATAATTTCTCTGGTAACCAATACTATCATCATAATACAACAATTTATTAAAGTTGTATTTAAGATTAGAATGTACATTTTCAATCCTTTCAGTAACATAGTTTCTTATTGTTCCCATTGTATCCCTCTATTGTCAAATCTTCCTCTTGATTTTATTTTGTAATCTTCTTGAGAAAATTCTATATCATAATAAGTTAGTTTGTGTTTCCTTATCATTTTTCAGGTATAAAAAGTTTCTTCCATTGAAAGCCACAAAGGAGTTTAGAGCAGAGCATAAAGGTATATTTATGCCATATTGTAAGAATGGTCCGCCTAACATAATAGTTTTCAACCTTAGCTTTATCATGCCATAGATATCAATGTCACCCAAACCTCAAATCAAGTCCTTTTAACTGTAATATCCTTCTATTTCTTAACAACACCCAGTCTTTTATCCAAGCTAAACAACAGGCAACAAAATATAATTTCAAATCTGGTAGACTCAATCCTCCGCTTTCCTTTGCATCTTGTGATACTTTATATTTAGGTCATGATCTTCCTCTGATATACAAATTCAACTATATCCTTCTGCCATTGTCTAAATAGTACATCATTCAAACAAAAATAATGTTCTAGGTAAGCAAAATCATCTTTATCACTGACATTCTGCCCAACAATGACTAATGCTATTTTTAAAGCCAATATAAAAATTTCACTATAGACAGTAACCACCAAATTGATGATAGATTTTCTAACATGGACACCTGGCTAGAGTTTGCGCAATCTTCTATCTGTGACTAGCCCAATCAGGCTAGTTAGGTGAAGATCCAGTGTATTCTGTCAATAAAATCTGTTGGATTATTCCAGTAAACCACGAGTCACATTTTGTACGAATGCTACCCTAGTGTTTGATCTTACTGAATCCTATTCATGAATCCCATTCATCCCACTATATATTGGAAATATATACTGGTTTTTTTTTCCTATCAAGTAAGCTGGAATTGTATAAAACTGAATCCTGTGGAATAAAACTCTTTTAAAATTGCTTGCTCTGCCCATTAAATGGAATAACTAGGAATATTATTTTTCTTTCAGATGATACAAATTTATATAGTAGGTAGAAATAACTTAACATTTGCAGTGTATGCCTGCAAGATATTCGAGTTGAAAAGATTTGTGACAATTTGAGTCTCACAAAGTTACTGGCCAGAGCTGAATGATTTTAAAGGCCTCTTCATAACAATGTTGTCAGCTTAATCACATGGTGGCTCCATCTTAGTCATGAAGTTTCATCCTTGCCATCTTTCCACTTAGCAAGAACAAAGGCCAACCTGTGGCCAATTAGTCGCATATAAATGTGATTCTGTGACATTTTTGTTGCCAGTCTTAGTATAAAATGATAGTTGAGGAAATGACTAGTGATAAAGATAAGGAATGTGGCTGTGCAATTGTGAATTTGTCTTTCCACCTGGAAGTATCATAAAACAGAGTAAAAATATATATGCTCATGTATATGTGTTAGATTCCCATGTTTGAAAAATTAGCATTCTACATGAAGCACTTATTGCCTCTGAAAAGTAAATTAATATATGTTTTCTTATAGTCTCTTCAGGCTATATGCTGTATTAATTATCTGGCTCTCGACAATGAATATGAACGGCTGCTATCCAATTGTCACATCTATGGTAAGTAAGAACATTTTCATGGTTAGAGATACAGTGGGTTATTACTTTTAAAACATCATGTCCAGCTATTTTAAATTCCAGTATTATCAAATGTGTTAATCCTCTTTATGTAACTCGTAATACATCTTTACATGTATCTTGCTTTATTAAGCTTTTTTTTGCATTGCTGTAAAAATTGTACTAATCTTACACTTATTGATTTCCATCAGTGTAGATTACAGTCACTTTATCTGAAGTATGTTGTTCTAGTGACTGAAGCATAAAACTGGGAATTAAGATATTTAGTACTATATATTTTCTTTGCTACTGTTTCTTTTTACTTTTTTGGTACATCTAACTTTTGCAATCCTATTTAAAAAGTCAATACTCTTTCGACAAAGCTTTTTCCCATAAATGATAGATGTACATTTAAAACTATAAAATCAAACAAAACTATTAATATTAGGTTCCAATAAAATGTTGAAATGTTCTAATTAGTTGGGTAGCAGATAAAATTCCTGCAAAAAAGGAATGGTTATCTACACATTTTGAATATATAATGAGTTTTCAAAAATGAAATACTGTATAAAGTTATGTTGATGCCAATATAAATGTTCAAATAATACTGGGAACACAGCACATCATTAGGTATTATTTGCTAATCTTATGCGTCTGCATTTGTGGATTTAAACTTAAAATAATAATTAGTATAACATTCCTAGTTCTTTACCAAATGGGTTCAAATTATTATATACAGTCATGACTTTCAAAAAATATAAATATTTTATTCACTTGCTTTTGATTGTTTAAAATTCATAGACTTATTCAGTATCAAAGCCTTCCTACTTGCTTCAGATTGACACCAGTATAGCTGGTCTTATAACAGGTTTCAGTTGCAGAGTACTGATTTTCAGTATAATGAAATTTAAATTGTGCCAATTGTGAGAAAAATACCTGAGATGTTCCAATCACTACCTCTGAACCATATCAAGTTTTTCCTCACACTTCCTGCAATTGTCAATAAGAAAATGGTGACAATTTTCATGATGCAGCCTTGTTTTCAGTGGGTGACAGAAGTATATTTCCAGGAACAACCATGGGACAGGACAGGTGCATTGATTTAAAAAAATCAAGATGATAGTTACAACTATAAAATCAAAACCCTTTTTTACATAAGTGACATAAGCTATACTTAAGCGTGATTTTAATGCAAGAAAATTGGACGTTACATGCATTAATTTTTCAAATAGTTGGTATTTAGCTCAATTCAAATATTATAACAGCTTTTCATCTGTAATGCAGATAAGGAACAGAACAACAGTGAGACCAAAATCCCTAGAAATTGGTTTATTAGGTCTAATCCTCAGGCAGCAGATACAATTTATCTAAAACACAGTATGTTTCTTTGGATACAGAGTGAAACAAGGAAACTATCCATGAATGAAAAGAAATCATCACTAAAAGCATAAACATTATTCAGGATGGTCATAAATACTTTGGAACTTCCAATTAGAACATATTTTTATGATAATTAAGTTCTGCTTGTTTCTTCATTTCCCATTACTATAAAATTTAATCTAGAGTTCCTTGCTGTCTCCGGGCATGTATACTATTATAACAAAATCGTTTCTTTAGGGAGGTTGATCACTCATTTTATACAGAATCTAATTACACATGCAACAAAGATTGAATTTTGCATTGCTGTTTTCTGCTAAATATTTTCATCCTTTGAGATGAAGTCATGTTTAAGACATGGCATCACAGAAAAGAAGGCTTGTAACTCAAAATGTTACAGAAAATGGTTTGTATGTAAAAGTTCCAGATTTAAACCTTGGCATCTCCTGGGGATACAGGAAAAGGCTCCTTTATCTGAAGGATAAAGCTGGGAATGATGTTGGTTGCTATTTTCATACACATGCTGGAAAAAATGTCAATGGCATATTGACATGTGCATGAAAAAGAATCAGGATCAGAACGAAGGATGTTCCTGTAAAAATAAGCTTTAGGTGTAAAATATAAGACAATAACCCCAATGGCAATGGAATATAAGATGTACAAAAATATTCCTACATAAATAAATAAATAAATAAGCAAAAAGAAAAAACCCATCAAAAAGCCCAACTTATACAGTCTTCCACTTTTTCTAAATAGTGCTACCGCACCATACCTAAAAAATGTACATGATCTATACATGAAGGGGGGGGGAGACAGAAAATATTAATCATTTGCTGCCAATTGGTAGCACTTTACAGCCCAGGGATGATAGCTGTGGGTTCAGTCTAAACAATAAAGACATTATTTCATAAAGAAAGAAACAAGCAATTAATTGGAGACAATTTCCTCATGCAAAATCCTAGTTGACCAATAATAAAATAGAAAATAGTGTCTAGACACATGGAAATGACAATGCTTAAATGTTACATCGCTGGAGCATTTAGCAACAACAGAAGTATTTTTCTTGAGAGTTCAAAATGGGACATTTAGAAAACAAAATGAA